CAGTACGTCGCAAACGGATCAAATATCCACTCCAGACCCGCGGTTGACGCTGTCGTCAGCGATGGTATCTGCATTTTTTCTGCATTTTTTTTTCTGATCAGACGATACTTGCTCCCGCTAACATTGAGGCATTCCATGCATGCGTTAGGTGCACTGTGTACTTTATTTGCAAGAGGTCTAAGGCGTATCTGTAGACTAGATATGCCGATGTTGGCTTCCATGATGCATGTGTATTCGAATGGTTTGTTTTGGCTCGGCTCAGAACTGACATGGGGATTCGGTGCAAGTGCCTATCACTTTGCGGCGCCGCTCGAGACCGGTTTTGGACGCTGAGCTTGGTCTACCTACCGCAAGTATTCGTGAATGCCCCGCAGACAAGTTGAGTAGTTGAGTATGTAAAGATCGAGTGTTTCTCGGTTCTGACTCTTAATGGCGACCATTCTCAAGCCTGGTGTAAGATCTTGCTCGTCCCGACATAAACCCTTTCTGTACAGTCTGTATCTGGCTCTATATAATGTATTGGAAAGTCGAGGTCCAGAAGCTGGCATTCGTCGCCGTTGGAACGACGCGCTTCCAGCCGCTTCCAGCTGTTGGGGTAAGGCCTTCCGAGCCACGCAACAAGGGTCTTGCTTGCTCCCCGCTTTTCCCGTCTCACCTGCAAGATCCGTCTTTGGAGTAGGCACCCCCAGCCCGCAACAGAAAGCTTGCATGCACCAGCAAGTCATCCGGCCGCAAAACCTATACCAGGCTCCTTCTAGCAGCAGGTTCGACCCTCGGGGCTAGGAATTCTCGAGCCTGTAAGAAGGGTGCTGCTCGTCCCGATATGTGGCCTTTTCTTAAGATCCATTTCTGGCTTCATCTACTGCATTAGAGAGTCGAGATCCAGAAGTTGGGCTGCAACCACGTTGTTGGTGGCCGCTTCTGGTCCCAGCCAGGATCTCGCTTGCTTACCTTGATCCCCTGTCTTGAGCATCCGCATTTGGCTCTTACCAGAAGCCAGTTCTGGCCCGTCCTCCCACACCAAGGACCTTAATGACCACTCCATTTCCCATATCGGAAAAGTTGGATTTGGCTCTTGTTAGACGCTATTCATGATGTCCCCAAAATCCATTTCCAGTTCCCTGAGTTTGGAGCGAGATTATCCCCAGCCACACAGCAAGGGTCTTGCTTGCTGAGTCATGTCTTCTGGTTTTTTTGGGAAGGCCATTTGTCACTTTTTGATTCCGGCTTTGGGAGCTTTGGGAGAAAATTTGCGCAGCCATGCGACTAGGCTCTTGCCCAGTTGTGTAGAAATGGATGCCGAGACCTAGAGATCCAGTTCCAACGTCGCCGCAACGACGAGGCAGGTGCCAGTTCTGGCCTTTGATGGAGGATGTCCTCAGCCACGTCCCCAGCCACGCAACAAGGGTCCTCCGTGTCCCACTACCTCCCCTGTCCACACGCTCCATATCTGACTCGTCCCAGGAACTGGTTCCTGCTGGTCTTCCCAGCCACGCAACAAGGAGCTTTCTTCCTCTACCACTTACGGTGACTGCAAGATCCATGGCTCCCCATTGCTATGTTGAAAAGTCCGGAACATGCTAAGAGCCTATTGGGCTCCTAAGATCCCAAGATGGGCCATTCAAGCTACACCGTGTATGGTCCCCGCAAAGACCCATTTCCGGCTCCTATTAACATAGTGGAAAGCCATGGCCTGGAAAGCCAGTTGTAGCGCACCTGCGACAATGACGCGAAAGTCGTTTCTGGCTTTTGGTCGAGAGTCTTCCCAGCCATGTAACAAGGAGCTTTCTTGCTCTACCAAGTGTTCTATCTGCACAATCCATATGCAGCCCCTGCAAAAGCAGGTTCTGACCTTTCATGGAAGGTGTTCTCAACCAGCCGACAACGACTCTATCTGCTCTGCTACGTCCCCGTCTGCAGAATCCATCTCCAGATCCCAATTGCCACCTTGGAAATCCGTGACCCACAAATCGCCTTTCGACGCCGCTGCAATTCCATCTTGAGAGCCGGTTTTTTTTTAAGGAGTCACTATCCCCAGCCATACAGTACAGCAAGCACCTTACGTCGCCGTGTATCCTGTCCGCTGGTTCCTATTCCGACTCCTAGCCTTCGTCACTCTCGGTCGAGCTCCGAAAATCCAGTTTCACTACGATTGCGCACATGGCGAGTAGCACAATGAAGCGAGAGAATCGCCTTTTTCGCTCCCCATTCCTCCGGTTGTGGCGGTGTCCGCTCGCTTCCGCCATGAACAGATTCATAGCGCTTGACGACAGCACTAGCGAGCAGACAAACCTTATCGCTGTAAGTCAAGTCACCCACTTCTGGGCACCCCACCCATGTGGGCACCCCAAAAATCCCTCAACACCATGACCAGCCTCCCACTTCAAACTATCACAACATTTTCATCCCTTATCCAAATCACTTCATCTTTTGCAGATACCTTCTTCTATACCCTATGGGTCAATCTACCGAGTATGAGGTTAGCAAGGCTCTTGGGGATATCGCCAACGGCGTCCCTGTCCAGGCAGCATCTAGGAAATGGGGCGTCCCTCGGTCAACACTTCAGAATCGCCTCAAGGGTATCTAACCTAGAGATATCGCATTTGCTGACCTCCAGCGGCTCTCTGTTAGTCAGGAGGCTAAGCTGGCCAATTGGGTACGGATACAGGCTGACCTTGGGCTTGCGCCAACGCATCAACAAGTCAAGGTTTTTGCCCAGCGTATCCTCCATGCCATGGGCGATACCCAGCCTCTAGGGAAGAGATGGATAGACGCCTTTGTACGAAGAAACCCATCTATCAAGGTCCAGAGAAGTCGATCTATTGATTCTAGACGTGTTAATGGGCATCTACTGAGATTATTAGGGACTGGTTTAAATATCTTGCGATCCCATCAATATCAGCCATCCAGCCAGCCAACAGATATAACATGGATGAGACTGGTATCCTTGAGGGTCAAGGAGCAAATGGGCTAGTGCTGGGCAGGGCAGAGACGAAGTCTATACGCAAAAAACAGCCTGGATCGCGAGCCTGGGTATCTATTATCGAGTGTATCTCAGCTGATGGCCTGGCACTACATCCGCTTGTGATATATAAGGGCAAGACAGTCCAGCAGCAGTGGTTTCCTCTAGATCTTGGCCCTTATGATGGATGGGAGTTTACGGCAACAGAGAATGGATGGACAACTGATGAGACTGCTGTTGAGTGGCTGCTAAAGGTCTTCTTGCCGCAGACTGCCCCCTCCCAGCCTGATCAGGCCAGACTGCTGGTCCTGGATGGGCATGGGAGCCATACAACGACAGAATTCATGTGGCAATGCTATATTAATAACGTCCATCTATTATTCTTGCTGCCACATACCTCCCATGTCCTTCAGCCACTAGATCAGTCAGTCTTTAGCCCAGTCAAGGCAGCCTATCGCAAAAGGCTCCAGCCTAACCTCAGCCAATAGAACGATTCAACTATAGTAGGCAAAAGACACTTCCTATCTTGTTATCAGCTAGCACGCCTAGCTGGGCTGACGAAAAAGAACATTCTAAGTGGCTAGAAATACACTGGACTATGGCCTGTTACTATGGATAAACCTCTTATGAGCTCTTTGCTGCTGCCCAAGGCAACAACACCAGCAACACCACTTAATAAGGCTGCCCAAGGTGCCCAGGGTATCCAGGATGCCCAGGATATAGAGGGATAGGCATCTGCTTCATCTGCTGTTGCATGGTCTACGCCTAGGAAGATAAGGGACCTTAATAGTCAACTGGACTTATTCAGCAAGCTAGATCAAAGTATTGCCACACAACGCCAGCTCTTCAGAAAGGTCAAAAAAGGCTTCCAAGAGCAGTCCTTCCAGCTGGCTACTGCCCAGCACCAGATACAGCTTCTCCAGGCCCAAGTCAGCAACACTACAGCAAGGAAAAGGAAGACTGTCAAAATCGACCCTAACACTAAGTTCGCCAACATCAGCGATATACGGCAAGCCCAGATCGAGGCTGGCGATGCTGAAATTGACACAGATGAATCCAGCGCATCTGATTGCCCTAGTGAGGCAGAAAGCTGTATCATAGTTGCATCTGGGCCTCGGCGATAGTCAATTGAAAAGGGTGGTGTTGTTGCGATAGCTTCGTTTTGTGGGTGCCCACATGGGTGGGGTGCCCAGAAGTGGGTGACTTGACTTACTTGAAACACCCATTTCCGGCTCTACTCGCCAGCTGGAGCATCATCAATCTTCACAACCAGAGGTGTACGGAGTGACTTCTTTCGGCAGTGACACCATGTGAAGCAGGTTCACACACTTGGCGCGTCTGTTTGTAGGAGGGCTTGAGATGAGGGGTTATCCCAAGGTCGGCGTACTGCCGAGGGCAGAGTGACATTTTTCAGCGAAAGCTTGGAAAGCGAAAACATTGGACTGCCGTTTCAAGTGCGCCAATGTAATGCAAAGGCGAAAAAAGGCTATTTTCATTTTAAGCTTTATCTGTTACCCTAATTGAGCTGTCGACTTACTATGTAGTCAAACAACGTTAGAGAGGTGCGCAACCAACACGTGGCAAGGGTCCGGCATCCCTCTGCCGCGACGACAGAGTTAACAGAATCCTGGTAGTCTCACGAATCTTACTTTGGTCTATTCAATTTGCCTTTTTGTAATCAGATTCGATGCGTCCGGACATGCTGGCCAGTCCGTGGGCTCGACCTCAATCGGAACCCCCCCAAAAGGAAATGTGTAACAACTCCTAACGCTCATGCCTATTCCTGTTGTCCTACATCACATTGTGATGTCTAATCGTGTTCACCTTTGCGGATACCGCCTCCGCCAAGATTTGAAAAATGTGGCCGCCACGACCAAGCTCGGCCATAGCGATCGAGACACAAGAAGGATATCTCGTGGAGGTATGGGTAAGGGCTTTGAGGATGACGACATTAGGGAATTGAGGGAATGTAATTCACGGATGCTGATGAGCATACAGACCTGGTACGCGATTGGCATGGTAATCATTGCTCTCCGTCATGTGGTGCGCCTTCGAACAGTGGGCTTCAGAGAATACCATGGCGATGACTACCTTTCTTTCCTTGTAAGCACTTTCACTGGATATCATCGATCAAATATGTGACCCATCAAACCTAGCCAGCACTAACCATATCCTATGACTGACATAGTGCATCCTCTTATATACTGTCGATAGCACCATGGGCTATTTCGCCTACTACGCAGGGGGAAACATCAACGTGAAGCCGCAGCAGGTCGATTCACTCAGCGACGAAGACGTCAGGATCCTCGAGATGGGCAGCAAGATGGAGTTCGTCACATGGTACACCTATCCCAGCTTCGTCTGGGTATTGAAGTTCAGCATCATCTTTTTCTACCGACGCCTCACTAAGGGCCTGATAAAAGATCGGACACTCAAATTCCTCTTCCTCGTTTGCGGGCTGACCTGGGTGGCGCTCATCGCGACCGTGAGCTCTACATGCTGGCCCTTCCACGACAACTGGACGGTGCGCCCCCTGCCCGGTGAGCACTGCATCTTTCGGGCCCAGAACTTTTACGCCCTGGCCGTGCTCAACGTCATCACCGACGTCTTCATCCTGACCATTCCGGCCCCGATGCTCTGGCACCTCCGGTTGCCACTGTGGAAGCGCGTCGGCGTCACCTGCCTTTTGTGCGGCGGCCTCTTTGTCATCTCGGCCGCCATCATCCGCGCCGCGTTGACGCTCACGGCGGCGCCGAGCGTTTTGACCATCAATATATGGGGTTACAGGGAGACTGTCGTCGCGCTGCTGGCCGTCACGGCCCCTGTGTTGAGTCCGCTGTTCAGGCCGGGGTTCTGGAAGCGAGGGGCGCGCATTGGCAGGCCGGTCGATGCGCTGCACCGCGAGGCTGAGGAGGAGCTCGGGGCGATAGAGAGGAGAAGACGGAGGCTGTTCTCGTCGAAAATCAAATGGGACTTTGGAAGCAGTCTGATGGAGACGTCTTACCTGTCGGTCAAGTCGAGCATGAGGTCCGCCATCATGACCACCACCACAGTGCGCCACGTGGAATCTGATATTGAGGCTGCTGCTCCACAGACTTGCGCAGGAGGCAATCAGGGCTCAGGTGGTGGTGACGCGCACAGGGTGCCAGAAGGTGGTGTGCATACTGGGATGGACTTTATTACCGGCTCCTCTCTTCTAGCTGGAAGCGAAGAGAATGTGAACTTATCGCGGCCCGAAAATAGCAATTACAAGAAAACCAAGCATGAATTATCTTATCATTAGTCTAGTCTAGCGCGATATAATAAATCAGTACCACCCTTTGCTGTTTAGTATGGTCATGACTGTTGTTATTGTTGTTGTTGTATTTAACGCCATGGCGGCAAGGGTGGAACCCTTGTCGCAGACCTCCCGAGGGGTATGTGGCGTGGAGAGCCGTAGGCTAGGACTATGTACTTCATACATCGCCCTTCCTTTCGTCCTCCAAATCATGCCTGATGGCTACTATGCCTTCTATCTGTCCCTGGTTCCCGCTTGTTCCCCAGTTTCATTTCTTCTCATCTATTCCCTTTAGGGGTTAAGTTGGCTGTCTAGGTCCCGTGCCGGAGCTCGTCCCCTAGTAACGTAAGCAGATCTTCCGGAAGAAGTCTGTCACGCGAAGGAAGGCCTCAAAGCCTTTTAGGTCAGTCATTAGTCCCTTGAAGTATCCTTCGAGGGATCCCATAGGTCCTATGGGGTCGAGCGGACCAGTTGGGTAGAGGGTGGGCCACTGCTGCCTCCCCGCCAGGGTCGCTGGGCAGTAGACCAGATGATCTACCTCCTTTGCCTCCCCGCAGGAGCAGGTTAGCAGGGCTTCGGTGTGGTTAAAGCGTCGGTGATAGTGTTCAAAGTCCCCGTGGCCCGACCAGGCCGCTAAAAGGTGGTGGAGGGTGCTCCGTGGTAGGGCGAGTTCGGGAGGGCAGGAGAAGTGTACCCTCAGGCCAAGCTGGGCATACCGTTCTGTCGCCTCTCTGCCCCACCACTGTCTGTACTGGTTTCGCAATCGCTCTCTACCAAGCCGTCTGATTCCGGAGAGCGTAGCTAGTTGGCCTAAGGGGGCCGGCAGCGCTGTGCCCTCCTTGGCTAGTCGGTCCGCCTCTTCGTTGCCCTTAATGCCCTGGTGCCCTGGCGCCCAGTGGGTGTGGATGTTGTATATCCTCGCAGCCGCTTGGATCTCGAGCACCGCTGCTTGTGAGGAGTCTGGGGCCTCGCCCCGTATTCCTTGGATGACACTGGGGTTGTCGATGCAGATGTGTATAGGCTGGCCTTGGGAGGTTAGGAGGGCCCGCCGGAGTCCTATCCTCGCCCCTTCAGCCTCAGCGTCAAACACCTCTGCTAGACCGAGTCGGCCGCAGCCCTGGGCCACGCGCCTGTTGCTGCGGTAGATGACAAACCAGTATCCTGTGGCTCCGTTCGTCGCTCTGAAGCCACCTGAAAAGACAACCATGTGGTTGTCTGGTACGGTCTTTAGCCAGGCCTGGAAAGCTTTGACTGCTTCTTCCTTAGTCTGCTGGACTATCAGGTCTTGTGACCCTGGGAGGCACTGCGGTTGGATGAGTGCGGGTCTCGGGCATTTTGGTGCAAGGTCTGCAGTCCGTTGGAGCTTCGTCTGCTGCCGCCCTCGTTGAGAGAGCCTCGGGACAAGAGGGTGTTGTAGATCAACCTTCTTTAGGCGTGCTGCGAAGCGTAGGCGGACTCCTTCTAGAGCCACCTTGCTTGGTGGTAGTCCAGCATCCCTGAGGAGGCTGCGTGTTGGAGTTGTCTTCCAGGCCGGCAGGATAGCCCTTGCCGCTGTCGTGATGACGCTTTCAACCTTACGCGCAAGGCTCTTCTGGCCTGTACTGACTGCGCCTGTCTGGGGGAAAGGTTGCGGCCGGTATCGGTGGCTCTGGCAGGGGCTGGCTTGGTCATGCCTCCATACCAGGTCTCAGCCCCGTAAAGGGCGATTGGTAGGACGCAGGAAATCACAGCCTTGCGTCCAGCGGCGGCCGGGAGCCCGCCTTTTGTGTTTGTCAGGTGTCTAAGATGTTGGGCTGCCTTCTTAGCCGCAGCCAGCTTCGTTTCAACTCGGTGTCGGAAGGAAAGCCTCTTGTCGAATCAGACCCCTAACCAGCGGATAGGCACAATGGATGCTTCTATTTCCAGCTCTCCCGCCTTGATCCCTGGCAGGTCTCTTTGTTGCTTGTGTTTTCTTGTGAAGTGGATAGCTTCGGACTTGTTGTGATCGAAAGCGACCTTGTTCTCAGCTCCCCAGTCGAGGATACGTGCGATCTCTTGGCCGAGGATCGCAGCATTACTCTCAAGGGAGGGGTCCATGGCCAGAAGGCCGATGTCGTCTGCGTATCCGAACCGGAGCTTCGGGTCTTCCACTAGGATATCCGCGATATACAACAGGAAAATGATAGGTGACAGCGGGGAGCCCTGGGTAGCCCGCAGGCCAGGGGGAATTCCTCTGTTGTTGCGTCCTCAAGCCGGACTCTGGCGGTTCGGTTCGAAGCAAAGTGGAATATCAATCTGATCAAGCTGTGAGGCCAGCCTTGTTGGCGTAGCCGGACAATCAGACGATTCCGAAGGACAGAGTCAAAAGCCCCTTAGACGTCCATCGTTACCAATGTAGCTGTGAGCCCTTTATCCAGAGCCATTTCGATGTCGTGGGCGAGGCAGGTGGTTAGGTCAACCGCTGACCTGCCAAGTAGAGCCCCTAATTGTTGTGGGCTTGTCACCCCTTCTAGGATGGTAAGGTAGGACCTTCTTCTGGCTATCAGTCTCTCGAGCCCTTTCCCAAGACAAGACAGTAGGGCAATTGGCCGCCAGGATCCGGCTTTTGAAAGGTCTGTTTTCCCTGCCTTCTGGATCATAGCGACCTCCGCCCTGCGGAAAGACTGGGGGAAGTAGCCCGTCTGTATGCAAGCTTGGAACAGTTGTCTGACAGGATCAGATATAAGGTCCCAGCAAGCCTGGAGCAGCCGTGTTGTGATCCCGTCGATGCCAGGGGTCGTGGTCTTTGTCAGGATAGCCTCCTTCACTTCTTCTCTACTGATGGCATCATGCCAAGGTATCCGTCGTCGAGGGACTGTACGGACGTCGAACGGGTCTCCAGGCAGATCGTCCTGGGCACTGAACCTCTCTATGAGGGCTCTTCGGAGTGCCTGGGCCTTACCCTGAGTGTCGTTGATCATCTGACCCTCCACTATCAAAGGGGGGCTTTGACCCCTAGGCTAGCCTTTCGCCAGCCCATAATCTTGTAGAGTTCTTGGTCCGGGGAAGCTCCTTCGATCTTATCAGCCCAGTAGGCCCGCTTAGCTTTCCTGACTGTCCTCAAGAAGACCTTCTGCTCTTCGAGGATAGCAAGGCGTGGGGTAAGAAGGCGTAGGGTCTGCTCTAGTTGTTGGGCTTGTCGGCAGCAGGCCTCGCGGTACGTTCGGTGGGCTACTGCGCACTCCTCCGTCCACCAAGGGGCCCCCTTCCCATGCTTTCCTCGTTTCTTTCCTACAGCCTGGACAGCCGTGGAGAGAAGGTCGGTTATTCTTCCAGCTTGGGTGTCCAACTCGGCAGGGGTAGGTTCGTCCTGGAGAGTGGGTAAGACCGAGGCTCCTGCTCTGATCAGGTCTCTGAACCGGGGTAGGGCCGAGTCTGGGACTGATATTGACCGTGGTTGATCTGTCTATTGTTGTCGTTGCTTATGAAGCGGGATTGTTGAGACAATTGCTTGATGATCGGCCCCTGGGTGAAGGTGTGGGCTGACCACTGCGTGTGCGAGGGGAATGTTCGAGAAGGTAAGGTCAAGTACATGGCCTTGGGCATGGGTCGCAGTCCCTGTCTCGCCAATGAAAGACAGGCCGTGGCCATCTGCCCAGTCTGCTATGTCGTCCCCCTATTCCTGTTCTTCGATCCGGGCTCCCAGGAGTAGTGATGAGCGTTAAGGTCCCCTGCCACAAGGACTCTTTCTGGCGGCCTGTATCCTAGGAGGGTTGTAGTTGCGTGATTGTGAGGGTCTCCTGGTTGTCTGTATACGTTAACCACAGTAATTTCGTTATCAACTGTGATCCATAGGATGTCCCTTGTCTGGACGGGTCTCTGCTGCTGGGCCTTCCACTTCATCCCTTTCCGTATGTAGGTCATTACCCTAGGTCTGGTTTCCCTGTCCTTCCAAAAGTCCACTGGGACGTAGGAGTCAAAACCTGGATGTGCGTTGATTTGCATTTTGACAACATAGCCTATCCAGGGTTCCTGGACCAGTACAATGTCGATCAGCTCAGCCCAGCAGAGCTCCAGGAAAGCTGTATGTGCTGGCGACTGCTTCCCTACGTTGCACTGAGCTATACGTAGCACCTGTGGAGAGGCCTGCTTTGGCCTACGTCTCCGAGTCGAGTTCCAAGTGGGTGTAGGCATTAGCAACGTTGTAGTCCGGTTTCTGGGCTACCCTCTGACTCCTGCTTAAGAGAGGTAGAATAGCACGGTTGGTCTGGGGAGGACCCTCGGCGTCCTGAGGCTCGTCCTCACTCATGCTGCTACTATCGGTGTCCCTGTCCCCGAGGCACACGATTGAGCTCTCGGAAGGTGTCCTTTTGCGCGGCCGCTTGGAGCCGAGCGGTTGATCCTGGTCGGAGGAAGGGAGGTCCTCAGGCTGTTGTATGCTGTTCTGAGAGGCGCTTAGACTGGCTTCATAGAGGGCATCATAGGCCTTCTGTCCCACCTTGCGGATCCGGGCCCGCTCCTTCCGGTCTGGCTCCTTCCGGTCTGGGAGAGCAGGGATGCCGTTCATCGTCATAGGCCTTGCTGGACAATTCTTGTGGCTAGCCTGGAATGGGCCGCAACAGTTCGCACACTTAGGCTTAGCTGTACAGGGCCCAGTCTCGTGCGAGTCTGAAGCTCTGCTGCAGTCGTTGCAGAGCGGCTGTCGGTTGCAGTAACTGTTTGAGTGGTAACCCTGGCAGCCGGGGTCGTGTCTGATAAGCGTCTTCCTCTTCTGAATGAGCTGGGACCTGCTACTTTGGTTGAACAGTCTGAAGGGTTGTACCTCTGTTAAGAATGAGATCACCCAAGAGACTTCGTTCGTAAGGGGGTTCGGCCCAAGGCGGGATTGCCGGGCCCGGGTGGGCTTCAGTCTTGTCTGGGCAAAGACCTCGTCTTCGATCAAGGTGGCTGGGTCCAGGGCGTCCCCGTCAACGCTCCACAGTTTGGCTGGGCAGCGCGGGACGACGTAGGTAAACCACTTTATAGGGGTCTCTATCTTGTAAGCCCCTAAGCAGCCCGCTAGTTTTTGCTTGTCCGCCAGGAGGCCTTGCTGAATCTGCTTGTTTGATGGCCTCAGTGAGTATCCGGTCGCAATGTGGTAGATATGAGGGATATCTGCCAGTTGGAGGTCAAAGGTCCGGCAAACTGTCTGGCGTAGGGCAAAAGGGGCGTTCTTTCGGGCAGCCGACAGGCCCTCCTCCGGGATGCGGGCGAAGACCCGGAGGTCTTCTTTCGACTGGGGTTGGGGCTGGGGTTTTGTCTGTGGTCTGGCCTGCGGGCGGGTCGGAGCCCGGTGGGGGTCCGGAGCTGCTGGTGCCGAGGCCGTGACGGCGGCCCAGCTCCGGGTCAGTATCGGAGCATGTTCCTTGTTAATGAGCTTCTTTAGGGCTTGGATCACATATGCCGTATCCTCTTTCGCGATCTGCTTCCTGGGGCCCTCAAAGCTGGAGAAGACATTATCGACAGACTGCGCGATAGTTAAGAAGACATCCTTGCGGGCCTCATAGTGCCTGGCCTCCTCGTCAAGAACGGACAAGACAGACCCAGTGGCGGTCCTGCCAGTGGCTGAAGTTGAGATCGGAGGCCCCTTTGCCGATGGGGGAGCCGGATTGAAGGCGTTAGGCTGGTTTCCCGCGAGGCTGGGCCGGAGTGGCTGAGTCTCGGTATTGCGGCGGCGTTTAGCCCTTGATGGAGTGGTTGGCTCTGGAGGTAGCCCAGAGCCCCGATCGGGGCCGGCCGGTGAGGCCGGCAGTGTGTTACGGCCCAACCAGTTGGGGTGCTGGCCGGCGTAACTATATAGTGCAGAACAGGGGATAATGATGCAGGCGCATCAATACCGAAGCTTTTGCTTTGTGGTGCAGTTGGTTGCCCTGACCTGCTCGTAACACAGTGGTCCGATGCCCGCCGGAGGCTGTGAGGCCATCGCGGAAGGGCTCCGGAGCAGAGAAGTGAAGAGTTTTCGGCTGTTAAGGGCTCTGGTGTTTCACCACCTGATTCACTAACAGCAGTTGCCAAGACAAATTAGGCGAGAGGGAGGTTGCAGCGGCTTCTTGCTTTAGGCAGTAAATCAAAATTAATTTCGTTTTATAATCTTATTATATTACTGTTTAAGACTTTATTTAGTTAGTAAACTAATTGTGAAGGGCTAGGCCTAGAGTTTGGTTCAACAGGTAGGTAGCTCAATTAAGTTTTATCTAAAGCTAAGGAGAGGAAGGAAAAGGAAGATGACTATCGAGTGGGGCGCCACGTAGATAGTTAAGCTATCGGGCGGTCACGCCGGGGGGTCGCCGGACGTTCGGCCAAGGCAAAGCCTGGCCACGTTCAGGGCTCAGCCTGTTACACTAATATCTAATTCTTACCTAGTTATAATAAAAGGTAGTTTAAAGTTTTAGGAAAAGTTTTTATTTAGAAAGTGTTGAATGGATTCTCTCTTCCTGAGAGAACCCGTGTGTACGATCGTACTCGGGTTAAAGTTAAGGTGAACCAAAGATGTATTTTCCGTGGTTATCTTCCTAACTACAAGACTTGGCTTTCGTACACGAGATATATGATCTCGTACGTCCCCGAGTCAGTTCGGCATGAATACACTTTTGATCCCCTCAATGGTTAACCGAGGGCCGAATATCCAGTCTGTGCCCTCTGCCATGATGTGTGTCCCTGAGTCGTGCGTGTCGTACAACCAGCTGGTGCTGTTATTCCAACAGATAGTTTTTTTATGTTCCTATAGTTAATACCTAGGTTACTAAATAAACGCTTTATCCAAGATACCAGGAATTACTTATATGTTACTAAAAATTCTTCAGATCCTCTACGCGTTATCTACGGGACTTGGATATCTTATAAGAATTCGATAATTCCGAAGTTATTTCCTTAATCGCATGATCGTAGGAGGAATCTTCGCGATCAAACCAGTCAGATATGTTCAGTGTTAGACCAAGATATTCGTATTACCCGGCCCACAATCGCACACTCCTGGCGCACAGCCAACCGGCCTATAATTAATCTACAGCCAGTCCAATAATATCTACCCCATTAGCTGAAGCGAAACGTTCGTAAGCCCTTATGCGGAGTAGATTCATTTAGGGTGTAGCAGTCCGTTCAACTTAGGTAACAACTCCTTAAGATCTCCTATCTCCCCGGGCGCTAATGAACAACTTTTTTTGCTTAGGATTAGAGTCATCAAAGGCATAAGAGTCCGTTTAAGCTACCCAATAAGTATCAGGTTTTTGTATCCCACCGGGCGCTAATAAACAGCGTTTTTGCTTCAGCCGAGTTTCACTATGGAATGTTTGTTTTTGGAGTGTTTTGCTTGGTTAGATATTACAGTTTAAACATTTGTTTGGTCTTATCAGCGCGTGGCGAAAATATCGAGCACCGGCAGCCGATGGGATGGTTCCATTCTCAATATCTTGTGGTACGTTAACTCTGCTCACAGCAAGAACCAGGCACTGCGAATAGGAATGAGATCCAAATGTGATTTAGAGCTATCCTGGCTATTATCGCAGCGCAACTACGTCGTTCAGGCGGCCCTTGTTGCAATTCTGAATTTTCTCTGGAGACCTAAGGACGCTAGAATTGAATAGAACAGAATCAAAGATTCCAGTCCACTCTTTACTTTCCAATTTCGATTGTTGCTTATTCAAAATATGTGTGTTTGAGTTAAAAGGAGAATATGATTACATAACCCACCCACCCCACAAGAGAGCCACCCCCACATCCGAGCCATCCGAAATTGCTGCATCGTCAAGAACATCCCTTTTTTCAAACTATCGCAACAATTGCTATTTGTCGCCAAACAACGCCATCTTTTTGGGATACCTTCTCTATTACACCATGAAGCAATACACTGAGTTTGAGCTCCAACGAGCCCTTGCAGACGTAGCAGATGGCTGCCCTATCCGCCAGGCTGCTCGTAACTGGGGTATACCATACCAGACCCTTCAGCATCGGCTGCACGGCAGGCAAAGCAGAAATACTGCGTGGGTTGATTATCAGCGATTATCGCAGTCACAGGAGGCTAATCTGGCTACTTATATATCTACCCAAGCTGCCCTAGGCAGTGCCCTTACCCATTAGCAAGTGAAGGGCCTGGCAGAGCGTATGACAGGCGATACCCAGCGACCTCCGGGGAAGAGATGGATAGCTCGATTCCTGCGGCGATACTTATCAATCAGGACCCAAAGATGCCGATCGATCGATTCTAGGCGATATAGAGCCCATAATTACTGCAGATGCTATCCAAGAATGGTTCAGTTATCTAGATCTGCCAGCAATCAAGGGTATCCATCCATCTAACCGATGGAATATGGATGAGACTGGCATCATGGAAGGCAAAGGAGGCAATGGGCTGGTGCTAGGCTCTGCGGCATCGCGATACGTCCAGAAAAAACAGCCTGGATCTAGGGCATGGATATCACTGATTGAGTGTGTGTCTGCTGCTGGGACCTCTTTACTTCCCCTTGTTATATATAAGGGCAAGTCAGTCCAGGCTCAGTGGTTCCCATCATCCAACCTATCTAGATATGCTGGCTGGCACTTTACAGCATCAGATAATGGCTGGACGAATGACCAGACTGCCCTTGAGTGGCTGAAGAAGGTCTTCATCCCAGGGACTATGCCCAGCCACCCAGACGAGGTCAGGCTACTGATTCTAGACGGCCATCACAGCCATACAACAACAGACTTTATGTGGCAACGCTTCCAGCATCACATCTATCTGCTGTTTTTACCGCCGCATTCCTCTGCTGTCCTCCAGCCTCTAGATGTGTCAGTCTTTGGCCCATTAAAGCAAGCATATCGGAAAGGGGTTGGAAGTCTAGGTGACTAGATAAGTGACTCAACTGTTGCTAGCAAAAGGGCATTTCTAGACTATTATTTCTATGCGCGCAAAGCAGCAATAACAACCCAGAACATAAAGTCTGGCTGGAAATGGGCTGGGTTATGGCCAGTATCTATACGGCGCCCTCTATCCAACTCCCTAGTATCAAAAGCATCATCCAGCCAGCCAGCCAGCCAGCAAAGCAGCAGCCAGCAATGGGATGAGGCAGTATCTGCTATCCCATGGTCAACCCCTCATCACTCTGCTGATCTGCGGCATCAGTTACATCTATTCAACCAGCTGGGCAAGGATGCCCTAGATACCTATACTATCCGTCACCTATCTAGAAAGCTGCAAAAGGGATATGATGAGCAGGCATCTAGACTAGCAATTGCAGAGCAACAAGCCAGCGATCTGCAGGCCTGTCTAGATAACCAGCACAAGGGCAAGAGGAAAAAGGTCCCTACATCTCCTAACAGCACCTTCGCAACAATAGCCCATATCCAGCGGGCGCAAAATACGGATATCGGCGATACAGATAGTCTAGATGAATCCAGTGCATCTGAATTATCTAGTGAAGCCGAAAGTTGCATCTGGGTGGGTGGAAGAGGGAGTGAAATAAGTGGTGATAGTGGTAGTGATGGTGGTGCCCATGGTGGCTCGGATGTGGGGGTGGCTCGTTAACAGGGTGGTTGTGTTAATCTTTTTGGCTAACACATAGTGCTTCCTAGTCCTTAAAACCACAGAGTGTTAACCCTGGGTTCATGACTAAATGACAGTCCACTCCGTGGCTTTCTTTGGAACGCCTGGATGGCTGTGCAGCCATGTTGTCATCCTTCAATGTTGTTTATTTATGCACAGACCAATACTCATGTAGTAGCATAGAGTGGTTCTTGGTAGAAGGGTGTTTTTGCGTTGGTTTACTCGGGTATCATTTAGGTTGGTCCAGTTGAATGTGTTGGCCGATACCCGTTGTCAGACCAGCAGAAGATGAAGATGGCGAAGAAACTGCCGACCGCATCTTTCTCATCTCGATATATTGACTCAACGCACTCATGACCTGGTCTTCGAAGCTGAGTAATTTCATCCCAAATACATTCTCAGTGATGGAGGCATCAAAATCGAGGTTGACAGTACCGACCGAACCGCTCTTGGAGACAATCCCGCATTCAACGGCCTCGATGAAGTTCCTCTTAGCGATCAACTTCGCATCATTCCAGCGCACTCTCGTGCTGAGAACGTAACTGCTGTTGCCTGGAATCGAGGGCAGAAGGGCTTGGACATGAATACGAGCAACGTCATTGATATGGACCGCTGCACCAAGGTAACTACAACCAAACTTCTTCCCGCAAACCGTAGCGAGCACAATAGCATTGGATCCTTTCATTACGTCGGTGCATGTTTTAGCGATATCGTTACGACCGATGACGAAGGAAGGGTGTAAGTAAACGGCATCAAAATGTGGTCTCTCCGCCGCCATCCACACTTCAGCGTGCCAGAGAGCTGCAACCTTGGACCTGGCATAAGCGGCGAACATGCTAGTAGAAGAGCTCGATATGTGGTTGTTTCTCTCGTCGGGTCGAACGGGTGTTTCGCGACGCTCACGACCTTCGAGCTGGTCCAGTGTAACAAGGGCAACAACAGAACTAGTGAATATGATACGTCGGACGGTGCTCGTACGCTTAGCAGCTCTAAGTATGTTGAGTGTTCCATAAACCGCAGGCTGGATAAAATGGCTCTGATGTAGCTCGTAGGGTATAGGATTGGCGGTGGGAGCCGGTGAGGCGATATGAATGACGGCTGAGGCGTTGTGCATAGCGTCATTGTACGCACCATCTACCGTTATATCCGGTACAATGCTGAATGTAAGTCTCGAGCGAGGGAGTTTGAGGTCATAAATTCGGGGATGAAATCGTATAACGTCGGCCTTGGCCTGCGAACGAACGGCGCATCGTACGTTGTTACCAGCCTTCAGCGCGTGTATAAGAACAGCGAAGCCGATGTGACCTGTAACGCCTGTGATAAGGATAAGCTCCCCTAGCATGTTGCAAAGCATCGATGCTTCTGTTTCGTGTTGTGATAGTTTTTCGGAAATCTGGGTTTCTGTTGGAAATGCCTCGTTTGCAGAATGTGAAAATTTGACTAGTCACAAAAAGCACGCATCCTACTATGGCGGCGGAGGGAGTCTTAAGCAAAACGAATTCGCTGGGACGTAGCCTTTGGACCAGTATGAGCCACTCATACCCGACCAATCACGATTTCTGATTCAAAATCCCTGATGATTGCTATTACGGAGGTTCAGATACCGAGCCATACACACCTACCTAACAATGCAGACTTTAAGCGTCTATGTTTGGACGGGTATTTTGAATCGGAACCTCTTGCCGGAAAGCGCGGTGAAGCGGCCGGCCCGCTCCCACTTGAAATGCCGAGGATTGTCTTATCTTTGCTTGTCGTAATTGTCAGTGCCTACTCACCAGCGATACTCTACCGATGTTTATTTCTGTTTCCACTGAAATGTTCATCTCTCTGTACCTGGCCTATTCATACGTTTTGTATGTATGAAGTAATTAAGATATGCCCGACAGGCTACTAAACCCTAAGCACGCATTGACTTACCGGTGCATCCGCAAGAACATTTTAATACAGTTTCCGCGTGGTTTCTTGTTGTGAGACGAGCTCTTTGACCTAGTCACTGATACTTTCTGTTTAAACACCCAGATGCAACGCATCTTCGTATTAAGCAGCACTAACAGTTTTGTTCAATAGTCGAAGGTACAAATCTTCCACTAGGCTATATGTTCCGGAAGCTACCTAAGAGTTGTTCCACCAAGATTACAGTAACTAAGATTCAGGTAAACCGACATGTGCTATCCCACCGGCTGTCGTCTGAGGTTATCCTAAACGTTGGGGTATGAACGTCGTCCACTTGAAATAAACATTCTTAACCGACCTGAAGCATGGTGCTAAGCGTACTAAAAAGGAAGTTATTTGAAAATCTGACTTTCTATAGATAAGGTTTATTTAGCTTGTTTTTAATGCACTATATAGTCTGATATTCAACTTTGTCTAGACTATTACGTTATACTATGATATTAGGCCGAAATGAAAAACCCCTGCAAGGTACCCTAATGCTTACCCCTTTACTATTTTAGGTTTAGCTAAAATTTGCAGTACTTCTGCTAGCCTGCTGGCTGATAGCTAATTTTTCCTCCTATCTATCACTAACACCATCACCATCACCATCACCATCACCATAGACGTATCCAACTGCTGCTGCTGCTAAGGCCGGCAAGCTGATTGCTATACAAAGCAGCTGACTGATACTGATCGTCTACGTATACGTACTCTCTTTCTTGACGTCAGATACAATAGGCAAGAGATTGCTGGACAGACTGGCTATCCCATCGGGTGCTGCTTGACGCCATTTCTGCCAAGGGTGGGGTAGAGCCAATAAATGGCTGTGAATCTATTAAGTTAACCAATAGGGTTACAGTACCTCTGTTGCCTATAGATTTTGGGTATGCCAGAGGTACCAACAATCCTCTTGGATACATAAAGGTACGTTGCAGTCTAAGCAGCCCTTTCTCGTATATTTACGTCGCTGCGTGATGCTATTCCCAGACATCTCGCCTAGGGTCTGGCGGGCTCTTACTGCCCTTAGATTACTACAATAAGAGCAAAGCGAATTAACCTTCCTTGATCCCTTTGTATGGTGTTCCCATGGGATTGAGGTATTCCTTTTATCTATAGCCCGTTTCGGCCGTGACCTCTGCCGTCCTTTTGCTAATGGTCCAAACTGTTGAATAAGCTGGGATGCAAGCAGCTGCCGCCAGTGGTAGTGGGTTTTCACCTTCTGCCACCTAGGACTGCCCCAGAGCTGTAGCAGGAAGCTATTTACAACTACCACTTCCAGCAGGAAATTCCAGGCAATTGACTGCCAGCCCCCTCGCCGAATAGGATGGCTGTATTGATAATAGGACCTCATCTGGTCACTCACATCAACCCCATTCATCTTGTGGTTGTATTCATCGATTGCCCTAGGGACTGGAAGGTCCTTGCGGACGTCTGGGCCAAACACTTGCCGGGCAGCCCTCTTGGCAGCAGAATCCCCAGCTGGGCGGCGGCGGCTGCGGATAACTTCCTGGCCGTTCCGGAAGACAGTTGACAGGAAGAGTACTAGGGCATTATCCTTCCAGGCGAATTGGTTGACCTATTCATCAGTTAGTTAAGTAGGCAAGCAAGTAGGTAGGAGGGCATTAGGTTGCTCACCTCCCCATCTAAAGTAGGGATGTAGTGTATTTTGCCCCAGGGGATACCCCGTCCTTCTGTCTCTTTCTCAACAACTAGGATCTCATCTATCCCACTATCTTTCCGGCAGGTACCAGAAGCTCCAACCTGTTGCTTCCGTAGGGTACGAAAAAGCCGTATAGAGGCGAAGAGGTTGTCAAGAAAGACGTGGTAGGTTGCAGCTGGAAGTAGGGAGATAAGGGTAGTTACTACCTGCTGCGTTGGTGTCAACAGAGCCAGCTTTCCACCAGCTGGCTCAGCTGGCCCAGCCGGCCCAGCCGACCGGGCTGTCCGGACTGTCCGGGCGGGCTGGCCTGGCTGGGCCTGGGGGACTAATGCGTATGGGCCCTTTCCATGTACGTGCCACAGCCACCGTATACAGTAGCCAGACTGGGCAAGGATCCAGATCTTATAACCAGTTGGGATAGGTTTCGTTGGAATCGTTGTTGTCTCTACAGATCGACCTGTAAATCGAACCATAGCCTCATCAACTGTAAGATCTGAACCAGTTGTATAGAGGGAATTCCCAGTCTCTTGGATGTGGGCTGACCACTGGTTGACCTTCCGGTATACATCCGGCATTTGATCTGGGGCCCGGCCCCGGCCCCGACCTTGGCCCTGGCTGGGCTGGCCGGGCTGGAATTCAGCAGTGTCGAATATCCGCAGTCGCTGGAGTAGTAGTTGGAAACGGTCCCGGGATATAAACCGCGTGAATAGGTGGATAGGATCCTCCTTTTGCTGCTGGGTTGACCAGTAGGTTGATAATCTAGATTCCCTATGGATCCCTATATATAATAGGATCCCTAAGAAGAGGTAGATCTCATCTACTGAAGTCTTCCTCCATTTATATACTCTAGACGTTCTAGCACGCGGGCCCTCCTTCGACAACGGCGCCGCATTCGTCCACTGGGCCCACTGCTCCACGAGGCCCTGCGGAACGTATTGCATGAACAGGTCAAGCGGGCTTGCCGGCAGCCCCCGCACCTCTTGGGCCCGGGCCGGCACGTCAAAGGGTCGGAAGGAGCCCGGAGGACCATGCTCGGTAGCCGGAGGTTCGTGGGGCCGAACTGTTGCTGCGTCACAGCGCTCGGGCGTACAGTCTGTATTACAGGCAGCGGTAAGGTCTTCTGGAAGGATCTCAACTACTATACAACTACGTGTAGAAGTAATAGAATCATCAGAAGTAATAGAGGTATCAGAATCACTAGAAGGCATTTTAGCATCAATCAAAATGGTAATTAGAGTGGTGATAATAGGTAAAAGAGCATAGGGGTACATGACGTATCGTTAAGTACCCCTTTGAATGCGGGGTAATAATGGGTAAATAGTGGGTACTTGGAGGTCTTGGCAAAAATGGCGTCAAGCAGCACCCGATGGGATAAAAGGACCCGCATCCGCCATATTGAAGGACTATGTTATTTAGGATCTAGAACTTCGCCGCCTAGCATCGCCACCTCGCCATTGAAACAGTAGTCCGCAGGTCGTTCTCCTCCAAAATCCTCGATTGACCTCTGCAGCCCTTCAGTGATTGGGTCGTTTCTTTTTATGGATTCGTTTCCGCCGCGAGACGAAGGTGAGTTATCAGTAAGTTGAGTGGCCTGCTACCAAACGCTATACACTGGCTTTCCATTAGCGACTGAGATGGCGCTAAGTCTCCTAGCAATGGCACTCGAGAAGGGATATACGAATGGTAATTAGGTGGAGATAATCAAGAAAGATCTCGACTTAAGGGGCAAACGACATGAAAGATATGGCCAGGTTCCAGTTGCCCTGGTGTTACGAGCAGGTCGGGGCAACCAACTGCACCACAAAGCAAAAGCTTCGGTAATGATGCACCTGCATCTTTATCCCCTGTTCTGTACTATATAGTTACGCTGGCCAGCACCCTAACTGGTTGGGTCGTAACACTTGGTTGTAGATTTGGATCTGGCTCTAACGGACTCTTCTGCGCCACAGATGCAGATTTCTGTCCAAAAAGTTCAAGGAACCCGCCTCTGTATGTTGAATATATGTGGCTCGCGTGTGCACTTATACGAGGGTCCCCATGAAGGCTCAAAATTCTTGATTTACTAGATGCAGACTATCAGCGGAGGGTATTAGCTAACCAAGGCTTTTCTACAGTGCAAAATAAGCACGAGTTCACCAGGCCCTGTATTGACAGGCTGACTAGTAACAACAATAGAACCGCAAAGGGACCGGACTCCTCCGGGTTGTCCCGGCAAATAATATGCGCGACAAAAGGAGCCGCCCAAACCAGGATGTACCCAAGGGGGTATACAACAAGCAGTCGCAGTTGGCGACGAATCTTGTCGCGCGTCTTGGTCATACCCGTACCATCCATGGTTGGGGGAAAGAGAAATGGGGTTGAGATGTGTTCGGGACCCGATTCGAGGGACATACTTTGGCGTAGGATCGACCAAATGTTCGCAAGTGATTTGGAGCGGGCACTCGTTGGGCTACTTGGCGACTGCCAATAAGCGCTGAAACTTGCTCGATGGTGGTGGTGATGATCTGGTGGATTCAGATCAATGGTGTCACAATGAACATAGCTCTGAGGAGGTGGCGAGATGGGTTGAAAAGTCGCAGAACGGGGGCTGACGTTGGATTCCAGTTCTCGGGGTGAGAGAGCCTCCTCCATTACAGAAATTCGACCATCGTCGTCGGTGGCGTGTGTCGGCCAGTTCCACGTGATCTTTTGGTGACTGTGCAAGAGCTCGATCTCGGCTGCCATCTTAGTAGCCGTGAATGAGGTGCGACGTCGCTCCGGCTCCTCCATGGATGTCACGGATCCGCGGCAAAACGTGGGCTTAGTGGGCACCCAGTGGACGTGAGCCCGGTGTTTATCATCTGGCATTTGTGTCGCGCATGCGTGCCTCATGGCGCTGAGGCGACTAAAGCGCCGCATGCGCAACGTGACATACATGGAAATGTAGGCATAAAGCGCAACAATGGTAAGAAAAATCATGTAGCGGGGCACCCAGTTGAGGGCGAGCCTTTTCCATTCGAGACGGACGGGCAAATAACAGTAACCGCCATTGTTCTCGTAATCAGGCCAGTTGAGGAAGGCCATAGAGGCCATCAGAAGCGGGAAGCAGACAAAGGCGCTAAACGCAAGGCAGCGGCGGCGACGGTTACTGCCGTTCTGGCGCCCAGATTGTTGGGGTCGGAGTAGGCAAACCACTAAGTGGAGGGCGATGAGAACAACGGCAGCATCGGATGCCTCTATGCTGATGGACAGAAAGAAGCCGCTCGCTTGGCAAAATGATGATTCGGACGTGACTGGACCGGTCTTAAAGTCGACAATAGGGAACATGATGAGTAGTAATGACTTAAGCAAGTCGCTCGACGTGAGCAACATGATGAGGCTGGGTCATTATTAGCAGGGAACTGGATTTCGAGGTTGTCTCAGTTTGGTTCCAAGCTGATACAGCATCAGCCAAGATAAACTCACTCATGTCTTAAGCTTCGTCTTGTGTGAGAAAACCAGTAGAAGGCAACAGTGGTAGATGCAAAGCTTAGAGTAGCGACAGCTAGCGACGTGAATTGACTGATTGTCCATTGTTGGTCCGCCAAACCCTCATGAATGCGGTCGTAAGCCGGGCTTCGGCATATAATAAAGACCTCGGGCACCGATGCAGTAGGAGATTGCGATACGTCGATATCTGGCGGCCACGATACCATAACGTCTGTAGTAAGCGCGCCACCTGTCGTAGCCTAAGGATGGAGGAGAAAAGTTGGTTCATGTGGGAGACTTCCAACTCCTCATGGCGATCGTAATAAGAGGATGGCCGTGGCTGACAGTCGTTGCAGAGGTTGAGGTGTTTGGAGTTACAGCCTTTGAATCTGCCCCGAAATCCTTCTCACTCTATGGCCAATCCAAGTCGGTTCGACAAAGTTGTAATTAAGGAATACCTGGTGGGCCGAAGCCAGTTCAACCTTGAAATGGCCAGTGGCGCAATCGCGAGGACTTGCCTCACCTATATTAAAAGCATTGACTGTAGATTAGAGACCATGAGATCGACCTTCCCTCTGGCACGGTATGCTGCGGAGGTTACACTGGTACATGCCCAGTTGGCAGGATCGTCCTATGACACTTTTGATGATACAGCAACTTTTTTCCAAGAAGAGACCACTTTAAAACGATGGGACTACCTCTATCAGCCTGATAGGCCTTGGAGGTATGAGCCTGGGTTTCCCGAAGCAAGAAGCCTGTATTATACTTGTCTCGGTGGACTCTCCAGGGTATCCAGATTTCTCGTTGACAAAGGCGCCGACGTCAACGTACAGGGCGGCAAGTTCGGCAACACTCTCCAGGCTGCTTCTTACGGAGGCCGTCAAGAGATCATACAGCTTCTCCTCGACAAAGGCGCAGATGTCAACGCGCAGGGCGGCAAGTACAGCAACGCTCTCCAGGCTGCCTCTTACGAAGGCAATGAAGAGATTATACAGCTTCTCGCCGACAAAGGGGCAAGTAAATAAGACAAGTACTGTGAAAGATCAGATCCCAAGGGAGTCGCCATTCTGGAGGATGATGACTGTAGATGTACTCCGAGGCTGATTTGGCAGGGGCCTTAAGCTGACTGTACAGCCCTGAAGATAATACTGCCTTAACCACCATTTTCTCATTTGACGCGGCGTGGGAATGGAGTCCTCCGTGTAAAATGATTCACACCATTTACTGATTCTTGATGTCTTCGATAAGAGCTCAAACTTTTTCAAGCACTTCGGCGGTCCATTGTAGCCACGTTTACCTACAAGTAACAGAGCACTTATGGCCAGGCAAACGCCACTTAAATCCTTGACAACCTTTTTGTGAAAAGCATTGGCTTCGTTTCTCTGGTATGCTTCACTTAATGATGATTGTACGGCGGCGCCAGTGCCACTGCAGCAAGCAGTTCTTTCCAAACGCCTGCTGGCAGAGAATGCAGTTGGAATTTATGGCGGAGGGCACGGACTCGAGTGTAGATATAGAGGCCAAAAGTGGAATCAAGGTTTCCCGAATATTGATCGGACAGAGAGCCAATTCAGTATGAAAGATAATTGGACAGCTAATAAGCACCGGATGCCTGTTTGAAGGTAAGCAGAAGTGTACCTTATCGTCGGCCGCACTGTAAAGACGCTCCACTAAGTCCCCATTAAACCCACTACTTCACAAGACTTATGTCGACGTATCATCATTGCATTACCGTCTAGATTTCGCGCTAAGCTGTGGATAGATCTGGCTTATACTTGTACATCAAAGTTTCCTCAAGTACCCTTGGCCTGTGCACCCAGACTGCAATGAGTGCAAGGAGGACATTGAAAGTGCACATAGCTTTATGCGCGCCCAGAAAAGGAGATTTCGAAAAATCCTGTTAGGTCGATTGAATTTCAGCTCATTATCATCTTTTGTTGTTGCTGTTGAGAGTCAGTTGGGTGTTTTGCGAAAGGGGTGGTATCGAGACGCGTGGCGCGGCACTAGTGGACCCACTTTCGGCGCGTCCCGTCGTGAAACATGCAGGCGGAGTCGGACACAATCAACGTCGCGTCCGACTCGGGAGAGGCCAGCGGAACGGAGCGGCCACCGCGACGGATACGCAAACCGACGACCAAAGTCCGACTGAACGAAGGAAACAAAGGGATTGCCGACAATGGAAGCGCAGAGCCGAGCGATCTCGGAGGAAATGGGGTGCGGAGGGCGACCACCAGGGGCGCGTCAGCCGCGAGAGGAAGGACCAAGGCGACCGAGGACGACGACAGAACCCTGCTGCTGGACATGGGAAAGCAGATGAAGGAGCTTCACGCATCCCTCCAGGTGGTTTTCAACGCATGGAAGAAATCGGAACTGCGAAACAAGGATATCCAGGCCGAACTTCGACACGTCACGGGCGAACTTCGGACGGCGAACGAGGAACTCGGGTCAATCAAAGACGAGTTGCAGACGGTCCGCGGCGACCTGCAAGCGTTAAAGCAGCAAGTTGAAGACGATAACACGAAGACACGCGAAAAGATCGAGGCTTTTTCGACTCAGGCTTCGGCGCAAAGCGGCCCCAGTCCGTCCTACGCCGCCGTCGCCCGAATCCCCTCAACCAACCAAACCAGCGATGCACGGACCTGTACGTCCGGCGTGAACCCGCCCAACGTGGCTGACACTCTGTACTGCACGATCGATACCTCACGAGTTGAAGCAGAAGATGACAACAAGCCCAACGCGGGCGCGATCAGGGTGGCAGTGGAAAAGGAGATGCGAGCGGACGGGCATACGGGATGGCGGTGTCAGGCCGTCACCGTGAACTCAAGAAACGGGAATCTCATCAGAATCGTCTGCCGAGACGACGCGGAACAACAAATGGTCAAGAAAATCGCGGAGACGAAGATTGCCCCGGGTACGCGCGTCCGGGACGACGACCTGTATCCAATCAAGGTCGACTTTGTGCGATGGTCAGCAGTGTGGGAAGAGAAAGGAAGGTACAGAAGTGATGCAGCAGAGGAGTTCAGCAAGGAAAACGACACCACCGTTGCCAAAATCGTATGGCTAAGCGATCAGGAAAGCCCGAAAACGTACGGATCGATGGCGGTCTACGTAACCAAAGCTAGTGACGCCAGAAGGCTCATCTCAGAGGGCTATTTTCACGCCGGTGGAGAGTCTGGAAACACGGGGGTGTTCAAGCCCCAGTCTCGGATACATCAGTGCTTTAAATGCCAGCAGATCGTTTGGCATAAGGCAGAGACATGCGAAAACAGCCTAGTATGCGGGCGGTGCGCCAAGGAGGGCCACCACCACAAGGAGTGTCGTGAGACAGTACTGAAGTGCATTCCCTGCGGTGGCCCGCACGAATCTTTCAGCAAGAAGTGTCCGAAGCTCTACCCATCTATCCATGAGTAGAGACTTTCAGATTCTCCAACTAAACGTGAGGAAACAGGACGCAGTGCATGAGAGCCTGATGAACGATGAGCAACTGCGAGACTTCACAGTCATAGCAGTGCAAGAACCATGGGCTTGGAAAAGAGTGGGCAAGATCTTGACGGCGCCGATGCGGCACAGTAGGTGGACTAGGATGGTTCCGACGGCGTGGAGAGAGGAACGACGGTGGGGGATCAGGAGCATGTTGTGGGTGAACAAGGAGGTTGGGGCAGAGCAAGTGCCGATACCATCACCAGACATGACCAGAGCCATTCTTTGACTCTCGGGTCGTCGAGTGCTGGTTGTGTCAGTGTACGTCCCGGTACAGGAGCCTGAGATGCTTCGCCAGACATGTTCCCTGTTACGGCAGGCAATCGCAGGCGTCAGGAGTGGCGCGGGCGAGGTGGTGGATGTGGTCTTCGTCGGAGACTTTAACCGACACGACCAACTATGGGGAGGGGACGATATCTCGGCGAGCAGGCAGGGAGAGGCAGACCCGATCATCGACTTGATGAGTGACTTCTCCCTCAGTAGCCTTCTGCCAAGAGGGACGAAGACGTGGCAGAAGAACGACGCAGCAACGACGATTGATCTGTCCATCGCGTCGGAGGAGTTGGCGCGGATGATGATACGATGCGCGGTGCACGAGACAGACCATGGCTCAGACCACCGAGCGATCGAAACAGCGTTTGAAATTGTGACGCCGAACACTGACAGCAAGGCCCGACTTCTGTTCAAGAACGCTCCATGGAAGGCGATCAATGCCAGGATTGAAACCACACTACAACGTGTTCCTTCGGGAGGTACCGTGCAGCAGCAGACGGACAAGCTCATGTCGGCAGTAGTGGAAGCAGTAGAGGCGTTGACGCCCACAGCTAAACCGTCTAGGTATGCAAAGAGGTGGTGGACGGATGACCTCACTCAGCTGCGCCGGATCCACACATTCTGGAGGAACCGAGCGAGGGCGGAGAGACGGGCCGGCCACTGTCCGCCGGATCTTGAGGAGCGGGCACGGGCAGCGGCGAAGCAGTACCACGACGCAATCCGACAACAAAAGAAGAAGCACTGGCACGAGTTTCTGGCCGACGATACGAACATCTGGAAGGCAGCCAAGTATCTATGCGCCGACAAAGGTGCCTCATTCGACAAGATCCCTCAGCTTACCAGAGCAGACGGTTCAAAGACGGAAGAGACCGGGGAACAGGCGGAGGAACTGTTGACTGCCTTCTTCCCTCCGCTTCCGGATAGGATCGACGACGAGGGGCAACGTCCACAACGGCCGCCCGTGCCCTTCCCCGACATCACGTTAGAAGAGGTGGAGAGACAGCTGTTCGCGTCGAAATCGTGGAAAGCACCCGGAGGGGACGGGTTGCCAGTAGCCGTGTGGAAGCAGACGTGGCCCGCAGTGAAACATCGGGTTCACGCGCTGTTCCAAGCCTCGGTGGAGGCGGGAGAACTGCCTAAGCAGTGGAGACACGCAAAGATCATCCCGCTGAAGAGACCGAACAAAGACGACTACACCATCGCGAAGGCCTGGCGACCGATCTCGCTGTTGTCGACGCTGGGGAAAGTGCTGGAATCGGTGATAGCCGAGAGGATATCGCACGCTGTCGAAACATACGGGCTCCTGCCCACGAGTCACTTCGGGGCTCGGAAGCAGCGATCGGCAGAGCAGGCGCTGGTTCTGCTTCAGGAGTACATCTACAGAGCATGGAGGAGGAGGAAAATCCTCAGTCTGGTCAGCTTCAACGTCAAAGGCGCATACAATGGGGTGTATAAGGAGAGACTGCTTCAGAGACTCAAGGCGAGAAGGATCCCGGAAAAGCTGGTGGCGTGGGTGGATGCGTTCTGTTCGCGCCGGACAGCAAGCATCCAGGTCAACGGCCAGGACTCGGAGGTCCGCTCCCTGCCTCAAGCTGGGCTACCTCAGGGCTCACCGCTGTCGCCTGTCCTATTCCTTTTCTTCAACGCCGACTTGGTTCAGCACCAAATCGATGAGAATGGAGGATCGCTGGCATTTGTAGACGACTATACGGCATGGGTCACCGGACCATCGCGAGAGGCGAACCGACAAGGAATCCAGGCCATCATTGACCGAGCCCTCGACTGGGAACGACGAAGCGGGGCGACATTCGAAACAGACAAGACGGCCATCATACACTTCACCCGTAACTGGCGACAACCGGAAGAGTACTCCACCTTCGACATCAAAGGGGACACAGTCAGGCCCAAAGACCGCGTAAAGGTTTTAGGCGTAATCATGGATACCAAACTCCATTTTAAGCAACACGTGGCAGAAGCGGCGTCGAAAGGCCTCGAAGCCGTGCTGGGGCTCAGACGACTTAAGGGCCTATCTCCGTCGACGGCAAGGCAACTCTTCGTGGCGGCGGTAGCGCCGACAATAGATTATGCGTCGAACGTCTGGAAACACAGGTGCAGAGCAGCCCAGATGAAGGTCATCAACAGGATACAGAGGATTGGAGCTCAAGCGATCATTGGAACCTTCAATACAGTGGCCACAGCGGTCGCCGAAGCAGAAGCAAGCATACAGTCAGCCCAGGAACGATTCGAAAGGAAAGCAATCAAGTTCTGGGTG